CCACTGGGCTACCGACTTTGTATGTCCGATTGAAATACTAAAATGAAATAAAATACAGTAGTAACTGGCCAAATAATTAACCAGTATTATGGATATCAAGGACTATTTTAATAAGGTTCTATTTTATTATTAAGTATGTTCTTACTAAAATTGTATTGCATGACAATATGGAACTAAGTGCTTGTTTGAATGGCATTTTTTCTCTTTTTGGGCAGTTAAAGAGATAGTAATAATATACCACTTAGTTCTTTTTTCCGAGCATTGATATAATATCTGGTGGGCGGCAAAATATAGTTTTGCGATTAGATGATATATTTTCCCGCAATAATAAGTATCCTTTACGTTGACCAGGATAACTAGCTATCATCATACTAAATATTATTTCTCCAGTGGTTTTCTCGTGATACGTTCCCAGACGGATAAACAGACATAAATTCTCTTCGAATAATAATAAATAAATTAAATTCGGCCTCTGTATCGATAATAATGTTTATTTCAATAAGATTTTCCAAAAAATATTTAATGTACAGATTCGACTCAGTTAGAATTTCATTATATGGATTAAAAAATATGTATAATGTATATCCTTGTCAAAGTTAAAAAGTTTTTTAGTTTGTCTACTTGTCTAAATTATTTAGTATTTTTTGAATAAGTTCTTTAGCATGTATTTTAAAAAAACTAAAATTTTCCTTTAAGCATAAGCAGAAATAAAAATAAACTCATAACTTTTCAGTTCAGTTAGTTTCAGAGATATTCCCCCCCAACGTGCGTTCACCTTGTCGTGGTGGGGGGGCTCAGTAGTGCCCGGCAATCCAACCGGGCGCGAAGCTAAGAAACGCACAGGGAGGTTGCCCACTTCGGTGGGCGGTGGGAGGTGGCCCTCTTCGAGGGGTGGTGTACCATGCGGGTTGCTCCTGGTACTTCTCTGATAGCAGAGTGGACTGTGGAGCAACCCCATGGTTGTGGTGGTCTGCTTCGGCAGACCTGCCGTCGGGGCGTCGTAGTTGAATGCGTAAGCGATCCTGCGACGCCCCATTAAGACGGGGGAAGGTTTTGTTGGGTTTTAGTGGGTAGTACTGGCTGTATTACGCCGGTGAGTCCCACACGTCGTGCGTAAATGCATTTCCCAACGTTAAAAAAAAAAAAAAAGTTTCAGAGATATAAGTCTTAAGTCTCAGTACTGAAACTAACTGACTAACTGAGCTTTTTAAAATTTTAAAGTAAATGACTAACACTTAAATGCACGGTCGCGTCAACTCTATCTAAAATGAATCTCTGTAGTCAATATGCTTTGCTCTAACAATAAAAATGTTATAGAAAATGTACGAAAACTTATGGAATATTCTAACCCTTAATATATTTCTAAAATGTACGTCCACACGCGATATTTTATAAGATAATAATAATAATAATTAGAAATTATTTGTTTATTTCTAATGGAGTTTATCGATTAAAATCTTTGATTTGTCAAAATTACACGACTGAACCGATTTTAATAACAATCCTCCATCATCACCATTGGAAAGCTAAACTATCGATAACATAGCCTATATTTTATTTCTGTAAATTTTCAGCCTTAAATATCATTTATAGTACACCTAAATATAATAATAAATTTATAGTATACCTAAAAGCTTTTATGCATTTTTAATTGTTTTAGTAGCAATTTAGTTGTTTTAGTTAGCAATAACTATGATAGAATATCAAACATTGATAAACTCTCTGACGTGACAACTAAAAATGCATTTAACTTAAGTATAATCCCATAAAAACATTAACAACCAACTTTTACGTGTAGAGTTAACACACTACCCGGAGAATGCCGAGACAAAGTTTAGTAACAAATTGCAGTTCGTCGCGAGGGTGTAATTAATCAAAACTAGAAACTTTTAATGAGTGCCATGTGCTACAACTGCTTATGGGCCTTGGGACTTTTCCTTCATTTTGGTCATTAGCAAAATCTTGTTTATTACATACAAAAACGTCTTAATACTGCATTGATCTTTTTAACCGACTTCCAAAAAGGAGGAGGTTCTTAATTCGTCGGAATCTTTTTTTTATGTATGTTCACCGATTACTCGAAGAGGCCAGAACCGATATGGTTTTTTTTTTGTTTTAAAGGGTATACTTCCTAGGTGGTTCCATAAAATTTTTATCAAAATCGGTTGTACGGTTTTTTATAAAATTAACAATAAATATTTTTTTTTAAATAAACTCTTTAATCGAATATGTTATTAAGAAACTTTCTTCTTACAAATTACCTGCTTATTACGTCTACACTAAAAATGGAAAAATAAAAACTACAAAAAAACATAAAAACCGACTTCCAGGCATCAGATATTTTCGAAGTCGGTGCCAGTCTGTATACAATATTTTAAGATACGAATATCTAATAGGTAAATATGTATTTTATGTATCAACATATATTAGATTTGCTTTGCATCGGCTGGAACCGACTTCGAAAGTATCTGATTAGGTATCTATTCTAAATGAAAACCTCCGTTTAGTTATTTTTTACATTTTAGTGCCTGGAAGTCGGTTTTTTTAAGTTTTTATTTCTATATAAGTACTTAGATAATATATGTAATATGTATGTATATGATTTGACGACACGCTTGGCTCAGTTTATAGTGACCCTACTTGCTGTGCCAGAGGTCGCGGGTTCGAGTCCCGCTGGAGGCATTTGTATCAGAGCAAGAATGTTTGTACTCCAGCCATGGGTGTATATATATTTTATTATATGTATGTATTTAAAGTTATATATGTATAGTGTATCATCTATCTGGTATCCATAACACAAGCCTCGTAGCTTACCATGGAACTAGATGGCGCTATGTGTTAATATTCCAACATATTAACTATGAATCGTGGTCATCCCATCAACATACGATCGCGAGAACAAACAAATCTAGTAACGTTACGGTAGAACAAATCTTGATTGGGAAGCAGATAAGCCTGACATTAGGTGCTTTGGTTTCTGGGCCATATATTTATTTTATTTTTCCAATAGCACGTGTATCGAGTCAATTTGCGGCGATCGCAGGTCTCTTCAATGTCCGTTTGATCGTAGGTACGTTCTTCTTTGGCAGCCAGTATACCGTGAAATTGAGTCTGTCGATTGTCTAATATACCCACTTGTTTGGATTTTGTTATAGTTTACATAATTGTATCTTAATATTTGGATTTCTAAACTTTGTTTAGAATTTTTTTCATACTTATTTTTATTTTATCCTAAACGAAATGTTTTACAGCTTGAAGATTTACTCGTATTTAACCAACAGTGTTAATAAATGTGGAACGAAATATTTTTTTATTAATTTTGTTATCTTTATATGTTTAATATTAGTTGTACTTATTTGAGGACCATTTTTATATTATAACTAGCGACTCACTCTCGCTTCGCTCGGGTTCGTCCCTAGGTACGTTTTAAATTAAAATGGATATACTATGTTATCCTTAAAAGATAGACATATACCATCGCGGACTTTTCGGTAGACCTATATAAGATACACAATTCCACCGTACATTATTTTGTTATATCTCAAAGGGTTTAGGCAGCGTTTTGTTGAAAGCTCCCAGACGTCTTATTTTTTCCGACACCTCCAACAAATATCGTTATATTTTAGCCAATGTATACAAAAATTTAACAAATTATATATTAAAACCTTCCTCTTGAATCACTCTATCTATTAAAAAAACCACAACAAAATCCGTTGCGTAGGTTTAAAGATTTAAGCATACATAGGGATATAGGAACAGAGAAAGCGACTTTGTTTTATACTATGTAGTAATTTGGTGTCGAGTTGATTTGATGAAGTAAAGATGGTGCTATTCTGTAAGTTTTTGTGTATTACTGACAAAAGAGTAATTAGTTAAACTACAGTGTTATTTTAATGCTTCTGCTTGAAATCTATACATATAATAAAATTATGAGTCAAATCTGTACATTAAATATTTTTTGGAAAATCTTATTGAAATAATCATTATTATCGATACAGAAGCCGTATCTATAGTTTTTAGAATTTTGGTCCGTCTATGATCGCATCACGAGTAAATCACTGGACAGATTTTGATGAAATTTGGTACGATGATAGCAGGTTATCCGGGTCAACTTATAGGATACTTTTAACTGCGGAAAACTATCTCATCTCTAAGAAAATTTATAAAATCAAGTTTATTTATAACAAGTTTTAAATTACAAGATTTTTGATGATTGACAGTTCTATATATAAGGTATGCGCCATAGATAAAAATGATAATCTTATCAATAGCATAAAAAGGCAGATTTAAAAAAATATTTTATTTGTTTACATGTTTTGAGAGATATGTATAATATAATATTTTTTTATAGGTTAGTACCTATATACAATTAAATAGTTTTTACATTACTATATAATTAAATATATTTTATTATGATTGTGTCCATTTTAAAATAGAAAAATTAATTGAAATAAAAAAGGTCACTAGCTACGCGAGTATCTTAATCAAATCGACAAAAATTGTTACTTTACATTTACAACAAACTTCGCACGTAAATCGAATCTAAAATCTCTAGCCCAATAGACAGTGGTAGTCAGACTACGCATTACTTCCCAAAAAACCTAATTTCATATATATTTCAATTTATTTGATCGGAACCCTAATTCTTTTACTGAAATAAAAGTAGCCTAAGTTACTCCTTATAACATTAACTACCTGACAGTAAAAGTCCCGTAAAAATCGGCCCAGCCGTTTCGGAGATTAGCCGAAACAGAACAGACAGACAGAAACAAATTTAAAAATTGTGTTTTTCTTATAAATACTGTATACAGTTCCATATGCATTTAGTAAAAAGCTGTTATTTTGATATTACAAACAGACACTTCAATTGTATTTATCTGTGTAGATATATTTGTAATAACTTATTATATTTTCTTCAGAATGATATAAACCGTACAACAAAATAGAGTTTATTTGTTGTATACGTATTTGAAATTGTAAAGTCCCTATTGTTTTGTTCAAAGCGTCGCTCTACAATAGCCGAACCAGTCGCGTCTGTAACCTGTTGGGCACTGAGAAGGTATGGACAAAATAAACTTAGAGGATTTCGGGTCAACACAATTCCCATTTGGGTCCTTTTTGAGTCCATTCCCACAATCACTTACGTCTGCTTCTATTTCACTACTCTCTGTACAGTTTTCACATAGTTTTCCATGATATTTTGGTTCTATTATTTCTACTTCTTCTTTTGGATCGCGTTCAGTTATATTTCTTTTGATTTTTGAAACATTTTTATCAACTTTACTTTCTACATAACCTAATACTCTATCGTATATGTATGTTTTGAATAATTTTAGAATGCAACTGACGCTTCTAACCCAAACACTTGTCTCAGAATCTTCAACGCTTGTTAAGTGTTCGGTCTCGTTACTCGTTTTGTGAAATGTGAATATTCGTTTTACAAGAACGTCGGCTAAAATTTCACTCCAGTTTGGGGCTTGAGTTGTATTTCTTGGGTCGTAGTCTTGGAAATTTTGTAGTTTCCGTAATAACACACTTTGGTATTTTCCTTCTATTCGGAGCCTTGTGTCGGTGATATAATGGCTGTTTGTTTCGCTAATTGCAAGAAGAACACACAGTACAGCAAAATTCATAGTGCAAAACTCTTTGACGGTACGCAATGCTGAAACTATAAGATTGAATACAGTAGATATGAGATAAGGGTAACTGTACAGACGCGATGAAAATATCTAATAAAATGAATACCATAAATAATAATCAAAGTTGGTTACAATTTTTTGACGGATTTATATAGCGGGACCGATTCCTGTATATTGTAAGCATTATTTTTGCCCATGGCTCTACTTACGTGGTTACATTACATTTCTTCTAATCTGTTATTTTTTCACGCTGTACTCAGCGTGTAGAAATAACAAACACATTCTATATAACTTTCAAATTTTTAATATCAGTTTTTTTAATTCATATATATTATATAAAATAAATAGTAATATTAAAAGTGCTTGCATATAAGTCTATTTAAAATGTTGCATTTTGAGAATAATTTGATAATGATCGCAACGTGAGTTACGTTTAATAATGCTGATAAAATATAATAAAGAAGCCGGTAGTATTCTTTCAAAGGTGTAAATATTTGTATCATATTTCATTCTGCGACATTTTTGAGGTTATACTTCTTTTGGCACGCTTGGGAAAAATTATGAGAATAAAATTTTTTTGATGCGCGCGCACTCCGACAGCCAAAAAGCGACATGATGAAGTTAGCTGCATTCCTTTTACAGACAGTTGCGACATACTTGTTATGTTACACCAAAGAAGTATAACTTCTTACGCACGTACATAAGTACACACAGACGTTTTTTAATATTTAACCAATTACCACTTAAGTGAATTACCACTCAAATGAACGATAATTTTATAATATTTGACGAAGCGCTTTAAATGCCATATTAGATAAAAAAGCTAGATAAATAAAAAAAATGGAACAATTCCAAGTAAGTAGTAGGTGCAGCAAAGCCGTCCGTTTTAATGCAAGCCCATGGGTTATATACGTGATGTAGCCATACAAATACCTTGCCAACTTCTTACTAGCTCTTTAACTTGAGTTTTATTTTCTTTAAAATTTTAGCATTTCACAACAATGTAATAACCGTCGTATAAAGTAGCGGAAATTATTTTTCTTGGCAGGAATGTTTAACGCTATTAGGCGCGTTTCATACTGTTTTGTATTTTAGAAGGAAAGCATTTAAATGACAAGTTTAATTTGATTTTAAAGAGGCTATGAAAGCAGATGTCGGTGTGGACTCGCCTTAATGTAGATCTTATTCAATGAGAGTATAGTCTGGCTTATACATTTATCTTTGTAGTTTTAATTGAATTGCCTTATTATTATTATTTTTTAAAGCACTCTGTTAGTTTTTATGGCATTTTCTGTTTGAAGAATAGTTTTAAATTGTACAGCTCCGTCTGAATTTATTTGAAGACAAAACTTCTATATTTTTTGTATTTTATTTTGCACATATTTTTCTTAGTATTAAGATATTTTTATTTTTAACTAGATTAAGTCACAGTTGACAAAAATAACCTATACTGCAAGAATTTTCAAAAATATATTCAGTATTATATTCTATCGACAAACAAACAAATAAATTTTATCTCTTTCTAATACAGTAATACAATTTTTCCAAAAAAAAACAACATTTAAAACCCATAAATAGTAAATTAATTTAAATAATAGTGTGCCTTAAAAACACTTTAAAACTTTTTGTTTGAGCTTTATCTGTAGCTGGGAACCCCGCACAAAATAACCGTTTTAAAAACTGGCAACACGCACTCTCACTTCTCGCTCTGTCGTCGTGTGCATAACTGCCGCAAGTTTTGAAATCGCATTAAAAACTACTTAAGTATTCAAGATTTATGCAGTATACTACATTTAAAGTTATCCAAACTAAAGGAAAACCACAAAATATCAGTTCCCGGGAACAGCAATAAGAAAAAAGTGACACGCACTGGATTTACGAGTAAGATTGCAGTTGCAGGTTAGTGCCATTTTGGTTTCCCAACGCATAAAATATTAAATTCATTATCAAGTACGGCACGTCACGGAGATGAAGATGCTGAGGTGGATGTGTGGCATAACGCGGGCTGACCGCATACGCAACACATTCATCCGGGGCAGTCTCGGGGTCCGCGACGTAGCGGATAAGCTCCAAGAGCGGCGTCTGGGGTGGTATGGCCATGTTGCGCGTCGGTCTGAGGAATATGTCGGAAGAAAGTGCCTTGATATATCTGTCCCTGGAACAAGACCTCCCGGGCGCCCAAGAAAGCGATGGCTGGATGTCGTGAAGCAGGACATGAGAGCCAATGGACTTACCCAGGATGATGCTAAAGACCGTGCAAAGTGGAGGAGGCTAAGCAGGAAGGCAGACCCTGGCAATAGCCGGGATTAATAATGCCAGGCAGAAGAGATCAAGTACGGCAATGCCCGTACACTTTTGTTATCGCTATTACATTCTATCAAATATATCTTAAACACTATCAAAAAGTAAATATTGACCGCGTGACGTTCATTAATGGTATTATGGTGAAAACAACTTTATCAAGTAGCAAGTTAAGTGCTTCAAAATGGTATCAAGGACGGTTTAGAAATTTTCATGTATAAATAAAAAAATATATCTATTTGTAATAGTAATATACGTGTTGCGATTCAATATAATTTATTGAATTATTCGACTTCTCACTTCACTCAAATGTGTCCTTATGAAAGCGGATTTTCTTCAAAATTTCATGGGTTTTAATTTTTGTGTGGAACCCTATTTCTTTTTCCAAAATAAAATTAACCTAAGTTACTCCTTATAACATCAGCTATCTACCAATGAGAGTCTCGTCAAAATCGATTCAGCCGTTTCGACGATTATCCGGCACAAACAGACAGGCAGACAAAAGAAAATTGTATTTTTCTTATAAGTACCGTATAAATTTTCATATGCATTTAGTAAAAAGCTGTTATTTTAACATTACAAACATACACTTCAATTTTATTTATCTATGTAGATTAGTTTGAAATCAAAATATTTTGTTTTTCGCAAAACTATATATGTTCCTCATAAAACGTCCGAAAACTCTTTCATGAATTTGTTTTTAATTTGAATTTCCCACAAATAAAATCCGAAGCGGGTAAAGTTGAAATAGACTCGTATGTACGCAATATCTATCTGTGTATAAAACTAGAATGTGGACGATGTTATTGTATGATTTATTTTTGAACTTTTCATAGACTAACAACCCGCTGTCGCTTTATTTCTGCCTTCACTGCTGTTCTGGAGATAAGTGGATAAAAACTGACAGATATTCAAAAAGTGTAATCATTGCTTTGGGCCACACCAAACAGCCTTTGAGTTGATTATACAAATATAGATATTATACATATATTTGAGTTAGATAAGCCGTAGCGACCTTTTAATTAAAAAATAATTAAATGCTCAACCGATTTTAAGAAGAATGAAAGACATTTTAAATAAAACTATCTTTTTGGATTTTTTCGCGGATTTATTTTGATTTTTGGTTCCCGACGTTTCGAATGCTTTACAGCATTCTCTCCCGTGACCATGGATGCTGCCAAAAATCAAAATAAATTCAAGTAAGTCAAGTATTCGCGTAAATCTAAGAAAGTATTAGGAATGAAAGACTTAATTCTGATGTATGTTTAGTTTTGTTTTGTCTAAAGATTTTTGTACATAGACAGAGCCCGCCAAAAAAATGTCAACGTCAAAAATAGTAGCGTGTTTTTGCTGTTTATGCTACTAATTATAGATTTTGTAAATGAAATGAAATTTATTTATTTAGTATCAAATTCCTATAAGTATACAGTAAACAACAATGGCTACGATGATACTGCAAAAGTATAAACTGCGTTGCAGATATCAACGCCCGCCTCCGTACAATATTTAAACTATATTATAAAAACTAAAAAACAATAAGATGATGATGATGTATGTGTGAGTGTGTGTGTGTGTATGTGTAAGTATTTTGCCATACATAATGTTCCTTTCAGAATAAGATATCGTCAATTTACAATTTTTCAGAAAAAAAAACGGATAATAATGAATAAATTAATATTTTGTACTTATTTTATTAGTTATTTTTTTCTTTATTATGATAAAATTTATTTATTAACATGTACTCCGTTTTAAAACGTTGTATATTATTTTAAGTCATTATTATTATGGCAGTGGTAGCCCAGTGGTAACGCGCTCGCTTGGGAAACCGAGTGAAGCGAGTTCAAATCCCGGGTCTCGCACCTCTGATATTTTCATGTGCGAATCATTTCTAACATGATTACCACTTGTCTTAACGGTGAAGGAAAACATCGTGAGGAAACCTGAATGTCTGAGAGAACCTAGCAAGTTTTCAAAAGACATGTGAAGTCTGCCAACCCGCACTTGGCCAGCGTGGTGGACTATGGCCTGATTCCCCTCGTACTGAAGGGAGGCCCGTGCCCAGCTGTGGGACGTTAAAAAGGGCTGAATACAATTATTATTTGACTTCATGTTTAGTTCTCTGACACTCTCTCTATATTATTCCTAAGTCTGAGGTTACACCCTACGATTTCCTGATTTTTAATAAACATACTACAAAAGGAAAAAAAATCATCAAACGCGAAAAAACGAAATTTAATGCTTTTAAAATGATTTTTAAGCCAATATTTACTTACTTTTTTAATAAAACAAAACATATTTATACTTAAATTAATAAGTATAGAAGATATATGTGGTTGGCGCCGTCTAGACCACATTTGAGTTCATTCCCCACAAAAGTTATTTTAAATATTTAGTTAATTCAAATGTTCAAAGATTAAGATAAGCAAGGTGTTTATTGTTGTAATTACTATTTAGCATTAAATATTTACGAATATATTTTAGCGAATTCGAGTCCTGCTCGAGGCAAATATTTATAGTGGCTATTTTAGCATTTACTACTATGTAGTTGTATTAAGCGTTTTATGTATATTACATAGATACCTTCTAGAGGCCGATGATTACGTACTTTTATTTGTTTATTTATTTATATTTTTATTAGTAACTCACCCTCGCTTCGCGCGGGTTCATCCTTATGTGCCAGGTAGGTAGGAATG